TCCGTGATTGTCGAGTACTCTGTGACAAGAATGTCGTAATCATCCTCGATTGAGCGTCGAACAAGCATAGCACGAATTAAGCTTTGAAGCTCTACTATTGATGATTCGTCTTCTTCTAAACCCGACAAAGTCTCTGTGACATCACGGCGAACTGCTCCAGCACGAAGAAAGGCTTGAAGATTCGATATGCTTTCAGAATGACTCTTCAAAGCTTGTTGTGTATCAAATACTTCAAGTCTAAGAGCACCCGCCCTGGTAATTGCTTGAAGCTTTTCCCAGATAGGTGTACATGCATGCAATGCTTCCTGCTGTTGAGAGATCTGGTTTCTTGTTAGCAAGGCCCTCGCAAACCCTTGAATGGCTGTAATTGAAGGTTCTTCGCGATGAAGATCTTCTTGGTCATCTGCAATGTGTTTTCTGAGAATCATTCCTCTCATTGCAGCCTGCAAATTCAACACTGGAGTTGAAACAGCTTTGGATGATGTTTCTTTTTCTTGAGCTACCATCGTCTTTCTCACAAGCATTCCCCTCATTGCTGCTTGCAGATCTGAAACTGAGGCTGATACAGTGAGAGAGTTCAGCTCTGCTTGTTGTGCCAGAATCTTCTCTCTCACAATCATTCCCCTCACTGCAGATTGCAAATCTGAAACTGATGTTGATACAGTGTGAGAGTTCAGCTCTGCTTGTTGTGCCAAAATCTCCTGTCGCACAATCATGCCCCTCACTGCAGATTGCAGATCTAACACTGGGGTTGACACGGTAAGGGTTGACATGTCTTCTTCTTGCTCCATCATTTTCTTTCTCACAAGCATACCCCTGACCGCAGCTTGCAAATTCAGTACTGGGGTTGACACATTAATAGATTTGGCCTCCTTCTCCTGAGCCACCAAAACTTTCCGAGCAAGAAATCCACGAATGCTTGACTGAAAATCTTTGACAACAAATTCGGACTGCTGCAAAGCTGATCGCATGATGCATACCTCTTCTCGGACTTGTTGCCCAACCTTTTTGGCCCTGAATAAGCTTTGAATCTTCTGTACATCCCCTTCACGGCTTTGCCAGAATTTCTCTTGACTCGATTGGTTCTTTCGTACTAAAAATCCACGTGCATGACTTTGTAGGTTCACTGCGAACCGCTTCATATTTAAACGATATTCTACGACTTGTCGCGTAAAGTCCCCACGGATCATCGATTGAAGTTCAACAAGCCAGTCTTCGGTATCCCAAAGTCCTTGCATTGTTCTTCCTAGGTGCATTCGCATACAAGCTCCCCGTATTTGTGCCTGTAACTCCACGATTATAGCTTCGTTCTCACCGAGCTCTCGATCGATTCGCTCCTCCTCGGTTTCGACTGGTTCAGGTTCAGGCTCTGGTTCCGGAACACCAAAATCCGCTCCCATATTACCAAAACTCGGCATACTAACTCCAGCTTTATCCAATCCTTTCTGCATTTCTTCCAATTCATGATCTTCAAATTCCAGTTGTCCAACAAGATTACCAATTCGAAAGTCCACAATTCCCTTCCTGAATAATAGCCAACTCAAAGCGTGTATACAATAAATGACTTTGGGGATGTTCTTCTTCTCGTATAAATCGATAAGTTCGAATCGAAAAAGCTCGGGGAGTTGTACCTCATCCAGAAAACGGAAAAACTGAGCGATATTGTCCCAATGTCGAGCTTGTAGTTTAGGATTCCTGAATATTCGTATGCGTTGCTCCGGGTTAATAGCCTCCACCACCTCTGCCAACGTGACCCCGTCTCTCAGAGTTTGTTCGAGTTGCACAGTTGGAGGGATTTCTCGCTTTAATATATCTTCAATCCATTCCTTGGCTTCTCCAATATGACACAGATACTCATAAGCCTGTAAAAATTGTCGCTGTTTGTCCATCCAATTTCTGCCTTCCCAACCATAGCCACCGATAGATTTATTCAAGGTGCCATTTTTGTCCTTTGAAATCGCGCTGCGCTGCAGTCTACGTCGTCCCTGTAATCCTGCTACCTCTTGTTCCGGTGATGTAATGGTAAAATCGTCAGGAGTTGCGGATTGCGCGAACTTCGAGAGGGTTCGAAGTTGACTTGTCGAGGATCGTTCGAAGCTTTGTAGCTCAGGCCTAGTGAGAGGTGAATGGATATGCAGTGGGCCAAGCTTTGAGAGAGCTCCTGCTCCAACACTAATTGAATCGGAACGACTCAACAACATGGAATTGGGTCGAACCATAGGCGGGCGGCGCGTCGGACTGCGAGTCGGACTGGTTGCGGGGCTTATAGGCGATTGGGCAGGGGACTCAAATAATGTTAATTTGGATACATCTATACTCTTTCCGCGATTGTGGTGTTTGATGGACCCCCTCTGGACGTCCACACTTTGTGTTCGAGAATGTGGTTGAAAATTACTTCTGATCACATCGATACTCTTTCCGCGGTTGTGTTGGGCTGGGGTTTTGTCTCTTTCTGGTGGACTTTGACCTGGAGGTTGAGGGAGTGGTCGCAAAGATTTTCTGGCATTCTTGTACGCACTATCTGGACTCGATTCAATGCTCCCTTTCCCGTTGCGGTTTTCTGAAGAACTGTACATTCCGGCGGCTTCACTTAAACCTCTCCGACGACTTCCGTACTCACTCGACGTCGTTGACGACAGTATGCTTGTGCCACTTGATTCATAAATGCTAGATGAATTGGAATAGCCACTTGATGCGGTTGATGCGTTCGAAGGTGCCCTCTTGGTCGTATTTGGATTGCCCGTTGTGACAGAGTCGGTTTGTGTTTGGCGTAACAAATGACGGTACGACATTACGGCAATGGGACGAGAAGTCTTGATTTATGGCGCACCAAACGGCAAAGGAAGGGTAAGCGCAAAATGTTCTCCGAGGCGCCGATCATTCACTAAATATCTTGAAGGGTATGTCGCATGCGGTATCCGAGTTGCCGCGTAGGCTGCGCGTAGTTTCTTTTAGGTGTACAGGTAGGAGAGATAATCGTGGTTGTTAAAGGTGGTGCAGTGATGGTGGAGTTCCTCTTCCCCTCCAATGTTTATTGTTTACACTGCACCCTTCTCGAACAATGGCGTCCGGCGCGATGGATGGCAATTAAAGACCAATCGATGTCGACTTCTCTTCCGCGTACGAAGTGTGAATGCGTATGGATATTCCAAATCCCCAAATGGTATATCGTAGTCCAAGTTAATCCCTATAGGTAGCTATTAAAAGAAGAATTGAAGGTTGAGCAATGTGGAAGGGATTTTTTTCTCTCCAGCCATCAGCATCCAATATTAAGATTATTCAACAGACAGACAAGCTGGAAGAAGTGGTAGCAAAAGGAATGGATGTGATATTTCAGTAGGGTATAGTATTGTTATTGTTGTTTATGTTTATGTTTCTGTGTATGTGTATGTGGATGTGGATGTGGATGTGTGGAGTGACGACTGCGTGGTAGTTGGGTATATGTGGTATCGTTATCGAACTGATAAAAGAAGTGGAAGGGATGGTGGATGCAAGGTATGATCGATGTGATGGGATGATGGTGGGATGTGTGATATCAATATCTAACTGGACGACTTGGATTCGGAGATATTTAAATGAGGAAGGAGGGATGCGGTGGTTTCGATGTTTCGAAGGATCCAGAAGAGTCAAGAGCGAAGAGTAAAGAGCGAAGAGTGAGGAGTGAGGAGTGAGGAGTGAGGAGTGAAGAGGAGTGAAGTTTGAAAATGAAGAGTGCACCGAGTGAAGTTGAGTGAAGTGAGGGGCTGGGGAAAAAAGACGTGAATTTCCATTTGTTGATCCGTAAGTGGAAGTGGAACACTTGATCAAGGTACGAATGATGCTTACTAATATTGTTCACATGATCAGGCACCGAGCATTCAGTCAATTCATACCTCACTGTTGAAATAGGGTTTTTTTTTACTACCCGAGTACTCGTACATGCCCAAAATTGCTTCTTCTGGATCCAACGCAGGGCAGGGTTCCTTTTTGTTTACATGGAATTCTTGCTTTTGCACCGTTCGGCTCCGTTGCTCCAGCAAAATAGGTTGGCGAGGTTGACAACACAGAGAATATATGAACCAATGAACATCCGGAGCGCCGAGCATAAATCCTTGCACCCAGTAGAATTCGTCCATTCCATCTCTCTTTCGACTTTTCTGGACATCTTTTATTATACTTTGGTGTCGGATCGGTCTTACCTTTTTCCGCGCTCTTGTCTTACAATTATCGTATCGAGTAGCACGTGCCTGGCTCCCTGGGTAGATGGGATGGTCCACCAGGTCAATACTACCTTTTTTATTACCTGCCACATACAAATTGATATAACTCAAAAATACTTATTACAACGGATCTACTAGGTACTTACCGTATGTAAGATTACAATAATATACTAGGTACGAGTATGTACAATAAATATATATAAGATATATAAAATATATACCTAGTATGTACAATATTTACCTTTCTTAATACGGGAGCGGAGCGAAAAAGCCTCCACGGCAGTGGCCAAGCGGAGCGTCATTTACCGATTCAAGATTACTTCCTCAGCAGCTCCATCTGGTCGGATCATTCATGTCATTTATGTCATTTATTCGAATCCATCTCATTTGCTCACCTCTCATTGCTCAATCCCAATCCATCCTCATCTGGGCATGCATTGAACTCTTCATATCTCCACGTGACCCCCTCTTATCGACAAACCACTTAGCCATTCTGGGTTTAGTCCCTCAAACAATCTGTAATTTTCGCCCCGCATATTTCACATTCATAATAATTTTTTCTCTTCTCTTTTTTCCCTTTCTCTTTTTTCTCTTGGGAGAAGGAAACTTCAACCCGTCGACTGTACATTTTCATTCAAGAGATTTGATTTCATCAATACCCTCAATTTCTATTCTTCGTACTTCAAAGGTCGACTATCTCTTTGTCATCTTTTCCATTTCTTCTCATTTCTTTGAATTCTTGATTGGAATTCATCCCCCTCTCACTTCTTCCCCGCACACCTGCACACACATCTCTACAACATGTCTCCTCAAGCAAACGGAGATTCCAAGCCGTCTGCTTCAGACTTCTTGGCTCCAGCTAAGCAAGTTTTGGATGCCACAAAGGCTCTCGAAATCCTCAAGGAGTATGAATCTCGCGATGGTCTCAGTATCAATGATCTGATCGATTCCAAGAAGCACGGAGGTTTGACCTACAATGATTTCTTGGTTCTTCCAGGTTACATTGGATTTGCTGCTTCTGAGGTCGTTCTCGATTCCCCAGTTACCAAGCGCATCACCCTCAAGACCCCTTTCGTTTCTTCCCCTATGGACACTGTCACTGAGCACGACATGGCCATTCACATGGCTTTACAAGGTGGTCTCGGTGTTATTCACCACAACTGCTCCGCCGATGAGCAAGCCGAGATGGTTCAAAAGGTTAAGAGATACGAAAACGGTTTCATCCTCGACCCAGTCGTACTTAGCCCACAGGCAACTGTTGGTGAAGTCAAGGATTTGAAGGAGAAGTGGGGTTTCGGAGGTTACCCAGTCACAGGTTCGTACTGCCTTTCTCATTCTCTTACCCCTACCTCTGCACCTTTACATGATTATTAAAACATAATTCATATAACTTTCGTTCATCCGTATTGACCGCAAGGTCGTGGGGAGACAATTAACTTTTTATGATTTTTGGTGTTTCATCTTTACTATCTTATGAAATGATCCTTTCTTGCAGCCGCTAACACATCTGCAAAAACAGAAACCGGAAAATTGGGCTCCAAGCTTGTCGGTATCGTTACCAACAGAGATATTCAATTCGAAGATGACAGCGCCTCCGTGTCAAGTGTTATGGTTACAGATTTGGTCACTGCTTCATATGGTACTGAATTGGTTGAGGCCAATGCCATCCTCGCCAAATCCAAGAAGGGAAAGCTTCCAATTGTTGACAAGGACGGAAACCTCGTTTCTATGATCTCCCGATCTGATTTGAACAAGAACATCCATTACCCATTGGCTTCCAAACTTCCAGATTCCAAGCAATTGATCTGCGCTGCTGCTATCGGTACCAGACCCGAAGATAAAATTCGTCTTCAAAAGTTGGTCGATGCTCAATTGGACATTGTTATCCTTGACAGCAGTCAAGGTAACAGCATGTACCAAATCGAGATGGTTAAGTATATCAAGGAGAAATACCCTGATCTTGATGTTATCGGAGGTAACGTCGTTACTCGTGAGCAAGCTGCGTCATTGATTGCCGCTGGCGTTGATGGTTTGAGAATCGGAATGGGTAGTGGAAGTGCTTGTATCACTCAGGAGGTTATGGCTGTTGGTAGACCACAAGCTGCTGCTGTCTATAACGTTGCTTCATTTGCTGCTCGTTTCGGTGTTCCATGTATGGCTGATGGTGGTATCCAAAATGTTGGTCACATTGTCAAGGGTCTTGCTCTTGGTGCTACTACCATCATGATGGGTGGTCTCTTGGCCGGTACTACTGAATCTCCAGGTACTTCTTTCGTCAGTCGCGAGGGTAAGCTTGTCAAGGCATACCGCGGTATGGGTTCCATCGATGCTATGCAAGATAAGAAGGCTGGCGCTGGTGCCAAGGACAGCCAAAAGAGCAACGCTGGAACCGCCAGATACTTCTCTGAGGGTGACAGTGTTCTCGTTGCGCAGGGTGTATCTGGTGCAGTCGCACACAGAGGGTATGATGTCCATTAACTATTTTGTTTTCCCAATGCTAATACTCTATAGTTCCGTCACCAAGTTTGTTCCATATCTCGCTGCAGGTTTGAAGCACTCTCTCCAAGACTGTGGACAAATGAGTCTTCAAGCTCTTCACGAGGCTGTTGAGAACGGTACTACCCGTTTCGAATTGAGAACTGCCAGTGCTCAACTTGAGGGTGGTGTCAACATGGAGAGTTACGAGAAGAAGCTTTACGCATGATGTGCTTAGATAACGTTTTATGAAGAGCATGAACATTAAATCTAGTCATCTGGAGGGGAATTTGGATTTATGGAGTTTATTACCTGGCGTTTAAAATAGGACTACATCGTTAGTCTTTGGGTGGAGAAAGAATAAAATACATTACAAACACATGTTGTTCTGCATTTGAAGTGAGGTTGACATGAAGTGACAAATTACAACATCAAAATTGTTCTGGAAAGGAACTTGCCGTCGAAATTAACCTACATTAGATGGTGGTATTTTGACTCTTCTATCTTGTCGTGTTTTGAATTTTTGCCTCCAGTTCTACAAGGAACTTCAGGTGCCTTATGAGAGAATCTACGATAGGAACACCCACCTGATTGAACGAATTCTACGACGCATCTATCCACCATCGCAGCACATTGCTGATCTCAAACTCGGCAATGGAGTAGATGATGCAATTCAAATCCTTCATGCATATATGAAATACTTATACAGAACTGGATCGAAGTCTTGGAGGAAGTAACAAGTGTATCCTTATACAAATTTTGATGAGGAGGAGGAGGAGTGATGTCTTGCTCTCGTGGAGCGAAAGAAAAAGCGCGTAGCAAGAAGGAGGAGGAGGAGGTGGTGGTGGTGGTGGTGGTGGTAAGGCTTCATAGTGCTTGGTACAGTAGATACAGTACTATGTGCTTCGCTCTTTCAACTATTGAGCGGTTGGTTTGATTAATGACATTAATCCCATACATAAAGGTAGGAAATTTGCATTTCATAATCATATCTCCGCGCCCACCCCCATCCCGATAAACAAACTCCTTTTCCGCTCGACTAGCACAAAGCCATTCTCTCCTTCCCGGAGATGCTGTGTTACTTCAAGTCCGAGTGGAATAGCATTTCATGATTGATACCGATCTAATGGCAAAGTCTTTTGCGAGCAAGCCAAACAAGGTTCTCCATGTCAACGTTGATAACTCGGCATGTATGCAAGTCTTTGGCGTCGTGGTTTGTCAAAGCCTCTCGTACATGATCACTGTGAGTTAAAGAGCTGTTGGTGACTACCAGATCATCCTAAACGTACTTACTTCTGTGATGGGTTGATAAAGCTGGTGGGGGCAGCGGTGGCGACGAAAGTGGCGGAGCTAAACACTAGGAGGTTTGTGGTGCTTGGTGGATGGGTCTGTTTGATTGTACATATTATGGCTATTTTTAATCTCTGATTTAATTCTAGTCTTGAAAAAGTTTCTCTTCTTTACAGCTACTCTAACTAACATTTAAAAGGGGTTGGAGATTCCAAACAGTTTGATCGTTGGACTACATTCTGGATTTTTTGACACTATGCCTGAGACTGTTCATAGATGAATCCCTAGTCATTTTATTGTAAAAATCTACGTTGTGTGAATCACGAGACAGATATGATGCGAATGGAGAACTGTGTACAATACGGAACAGAAAACTATTTATCTATGTAGGTATAACAAACTCATCCCAAGAAGAAGACGTTCGTGAAGTCTAGATTTTCTCACATTTCAGCCTGGGCGGCACGCAATCCTTTTGAAGTTTGTCGAACCTATCTGCTTAGATCCCCTGGAAGATTTTCGACTTGAAAGCTTTCAACATCGACGGTTTCAAGGTTGAAAGTGTAGGGGCCAATAGGTAGTCACTAGCAACATCATCTGGAAGGATGAATACATATCTTACTTTGATGAACCTGGTATCTTCGGGGCCAAAGATATGAATTGGTTGAGGTCTGCCAATCTTGACATCGCCGTCCGGATGTGTTTCATAATCCCAATCTGGCTTCCTCGTTCGTGATAGCTCACAAGCTAACAGTACCCCGCATTCCGAGTAAAGATCTGGTTCCCACAATGACTCGATAACTCGACGCTTCACGTAAAAGTAGGAACTCGCAGGCTCCTCTGCCATGAAGAGGGTGGAAACCTTACCATAAAGCTCTTCGCTCTTGGCTTCTAGGCCGCTCAAAAGAATACTTGGTAGGTATGAAAGACTCGTGCCATGAAAAAGCACCATCGGTCCTGTTTTCTCATCATTGGGTTTGGGTGATGTACCAGAAGAGTGCTTCGGTGCTTGAACAACCACAAACTGATGGACGGACGCTGGGAATCCGGATATCTTCAACTTACCATTTGCAGGGATCAGGTATCCTCCGTAGTTTTCAGAGAGATGCTTTACGAGTTTCAAGCACTCAGGTGCTTTTTTCAAAGTCTCTGCTATCTTCCGCTTGGAACCCATATTTGCAAAGTTTTCGGGAAATCCCTCCGTAAAGTCGTCAAGAGTTATCAATTGGGGAGAGCCAGGGAAACTTATCGGATAGCCACCTCGCAATATAGCATCCGCATAAACCGAACTAAGAAGCAAATCGATGACTTGAGAATTCAATTTGATGGCGGCAGAAATCTCCAAGATAGATCTGGGCATTGACAGATCGTCAAGGTCATTTTCCCCTTCCTTGCCATTCCAAATGCAAATGCTAAAATCGAATTAGTCTTGTCAAAAAGGGGTGAGAATGCTCCATCCTCCCAATGGGAACTCTTGTGACTTACACGTCTTTCAGAAGCAGATTGATACAATCTATTCTGGTCAATCCATCACTATCATGAATCAATTCTTCCTTCTGGACCGTTTCGCGTAATTCTGCTCCTGTCATTTTCCACCATCCCGCAATGGTATTGATGAGAACCGGATCAAGAAGCATTCCTGGTTTCAGGTATCCAATTTGGTAGAGTGCGTAAACGGCTTGAAGAATAGGCTTCAAAGAATGGCGATAAAAATTGACCTTCGAAGCAGCGAGCTTGCGAAGTAGTGTTTTCTTTGTGGTGGACATGGTATTTAAGACCTTGCTAAGACTAGATGCTGAAGCCATTGTTGCTCGTGATAATGGCCGAGGTGAGGTAAGAGATTCGGTGGATACTGTTGTTGAAATTTCTGAATGCTTTGTATAGGCTTTGTCGAGGTACTTGGGATGAACGAAAGAGTTGACTCGACGATGCTTCATTGGAAACTATCCTTTCTTATACTTATCTATGGTAGCAAATAGACACTATGTCTCGAGGATGGAATGGAATCGATCCAGCAACGAGATTCGTGCAAAATCCGCACATGTTTCAAGGCTAGAAATTGACTGAATCAACAATGGGAGAATGTTTCAGCCATCTACAATACTCACTCTAGAGCATCGTTGGGAGTTGCGTAGTCTATTTCACCAAATTGACTGAGGATATTACTACATCAGACCATCTTATCCTCGAATTGGAACTCAATAGATACCTCCATGATCTTCATGGCCAGAGAACATAACTCCAAGGCCCAGAACCTTCTACTAGAGACTTAATTGAGGTAGACATCGAGTTTTTCCTTCTATAACTTATGCTGCGAGGTTTGACTATCTGTACGAAACAAATCAGGTCTCTAGCATGACAATTTTTCACCTGATCCACTTCAATCTGTGTAAAAAAGAATGGTTCATCGCAGACCAGAGAACAGAGAAGAGTGAGACAGTCCCTCTGTGATATATTTCTTCCGTCTTGACTGTCTGCATATGCACATCTTCCATCCAACAAACATGACTTGAGAGCTACTAAGCTTTGAGGCTTCGGAGCATTTAGATTAGACCGCAGAATGAGAACCATCAAACTTCACTAGTATGTGCAGTATTCATTAAGAAAGTCACCCTTCAGCCGTCACATGAACAAAATCACTCGCAATTCCGTCGATTGTTTATTCACATATGTATATTTAATTCCAACACAATCTTCCATTTTCATCTGGAATAGCATCGTTGCTAACCACACTAGCAACTTCACTTCCAACTCCGGTCTTTGTCCAGAATAATGACCATGGATCAGTCGCATCCTTAATGCTCAACAATCTATCGTAATTCACACCATAGAAATTATGTTGCCAGTCTACCTCCTCAATATCGCACTCCCCAAGATATGCTCCCGTGCCCGGGGTGACAGCTTTCCACGCAAGTTGGAGTTCGCTAAGCTTGGCGCGAGCGGAAGCCATAGTGGTGAAATTGGTAGGGTCTGTCCATGATGTGCCTTGCATAGTGTGAAGAGTAGTCTTCCTCCAAGCGGGCAAAACGGCATTATCAACCCCTGCGACATTCGGTGCATTGATATTGAAACCTACGAGCAATGAGGCATTGTTTCTCGATGAGCCTGACCAAGCATCGAATGTTGCGTCGAATGTTGCTTCATCCTCAAGATATTCTTGTAGAAAGAGCCGGGAACCAACAATAGCGTCATCGGAACCAACCGTTTCTTGAGCGAAAGATGCATCCCATCCTTCGTATAGTGTATCATAGGTGTTGTATACTGGTGTAAAGTCTATGCCGAGTGCAGTGAGTTTTCCGAACCAAGGTGCCAACAAGGCTTCAGTTTCGGCTTGGGTGTGATTTGGAGCCCAGAATGGAGACATAATGAAATAATCCACCCCGAAAGCTGCAGGAGGAAAAACGAAGAAGTAGCTGTAGATTCCTGCATTATTAAAGGTGATAAAGCTCTCCCAATAAGCACGGACACCAAGCCAGAAAGCATCATCGGTGACATTGCCACCAGAGGCGAATGTGAAAGTTACAACGGTGACGGGAGTCGTCGGGTAAGCTTTGATTGTGAGAGATGTCGCCACACCCCAAGATGCGGGACCACCTCCACGTAAAGCCCAGAAAAGATCGGTATTTTCAGTCGAGGATGCAGTAACAAATCGTCCATCGGCTGTGATAATACGAGCAGAGATGACCTGATCTGCAGCAAGACCATATACTGAAGTCATAGGGCCGTGTCCTCCACCTTGAATGTAACCTCCTAGAACCCCGACATCCCTTGCTTCGCCGCCAACAACAACCATTCCCTGCTCGCTAGCCGCTTTCATAATATCTACACCAACAACACCACTTCCAGATGTGAAAGCGGGTCCCGTGTAAGGGAAATCCGCATCGGTGTATTCAGCACCCTCATATCTGATATCTTGTAACCAATGAGTCCAAACACTCAAAGCACCTGCTCCACCGGATTTACCAGAGAACTCATGTCCTGTATTCTTGACCACGAATCTGATGCCAGTATTTCTTGCAAAATTGACGGCAAGTTGTATTTGTGCGACATTTGTGGCATTGACTGCGTAAGCGGGATAAGCGCCAAGTGTGCAGGTTGCTGTTGGGTCGGTGGTAGGCATGCAGGTTAGACCTTGATATATCGGGGACATCATGGATGTGGGATCCTCCTCGTGCATGGTAGAATTAGTCCAATTGTCTGTGACAAAGGCACATTTATCTGCGTCCTAAGTCATTGATTAGTATCATTTCGTTTGAAGAACCAATTTGATCAAGTGAGTAATGTTTAAGGTAAATTTGGACATTAAAGATAACATTTGTTTGGGGAATCGCGTGGGATATTCCACCTTATTTGAAGATTTTAAGTATAAAAGTAGACTCACATAATTCCAATCATTATAACAGCTTGATGCGATTGGTATAGTTTTAATCAAGGCACCACCAAGTAGGTCATTGAAGATATCCCAAACATCATCCGCCGGCCAATCCGCATCTCCAGGAAAGACTTTACACGCCGATCTCGAAGAAGCAATGCTTGATGCATCTACCGAAGAAGCATTCCCAAATGTGAAAAGCGCTTGCATGGAAGCATTGAGTTGTGCGAGATCTGAAGTTTTCAACTGAATAGTCTCAAAATCAAAGAGTGCTGTTGAAGAAGTGCTATTATCTTGTCTGCGAGCATTTGTAGCAGCAACTAGACCAGCATTGAAAGAAACAAAGTTGTAAAAGAGTGAAGACTTCATCTTGACTTTGACCACTCTGAGATAGTCTTAGATAGGATAGAACGATGGATATGATGAAGGTATACTAATGAAGGTATACTAATGAAGGCTACAATAGCGATGAAGTGAAAGAAAAAGCCTACGAATCATCGGGATCAACTTGCCTTTTCATATTGAAGACCAGATTCGACATAAAAATCATACAATATAAACGTGTGGATTATCACGATGTGTGTGGAGTAGTCGTTCCGATTTTGGTAAAGGTAGAGACCAAATGGAGATAAACCGCCTCATGGTGTGGCAAGACACGGCGGAAACATCGATACTTGATGCCGGATGATGGTAATTGATGTTCGAGAATTAAAGAGTACATGCAAATAGGTTGCAATCACAGGTGAGAAGCAGCGTTTGCTTGCCGGTGGTGTTTATCTGAATGAAGGGGCGAAAAAAGAGCGGCGAGCGACTAACAAACATGGATATGCGGGGCTAAAGACATTCATTTGGTATGATAGCCGTGAACACCTTAACGTTGAGAATCTGGAGGTGGATATATGTCCGTTCTTTGTGGAAATGCTTTTCTCATCGCTGTAAAGATCATTAAGATAGAATGGAGCCCCGCCTACCTACTTAGTCTCGATCGTTTATTTCTCGGCTGTGCTCTTGAGTAAGAGGTGAAAGAAAAGAGAATGAAGGAGAGGAAGAAAGAGGGTCCGGAAGGATGGAATAGAAGAAGAGTCAAAAGATATAGGTATGTCTGTATCCAAGATATTCAAGATATATTCAAGTAAGCACATACATATGCGGTGTGATTAAATTCTCAATCTTGCAGAGGAGATCGACTACCACCAAATGCTTTGACGACGACGCCTCTTCCGTTGACGGTTGCTCCATTCTTCCAATTCCCGTCGAGGTAACCAAAATATAGATATGCTTTGACTCTTTTTTTTTTAACACAAAAAATAAGCAACTGAGCCTTCTTAGGAGTCAGGGGCGCTGGCCGGTCAATGCCAACAACTTAAGATTGTGGATAAATTAAACAGAGTAGTATTGGTCGGGTTCTCTCAGGATTCCTCCCGCACCCTACAGGGCTTATACACATAAATTTTCTTCGGTGGGTCTACGAATTAGTTGCTATATCAGAAGGATTCGCAGTGCCCTGCCATCTGTAGATTAATAGCTGTAAGATTACTTCGTAAAATACAATTCGAGTTTGGCCATTAAAACATTATGCACTCGTGTACCTAGTCTCCTAGTGACTTTACCTCGGGTGTACCAAGTGCCAATATAAGCTTATCTCCCACAATCTAGCCACTTATGTGTCAAACCATATTCGCCCAGTGTTGAATGCAGTCAGCGGGATGATTCAGCGAAGAAAAAGAAAGGATAGATTGGGAGGAACGAGTGGACGTTAGCATACTAGAGAGCTAGAATACTCTATGGAGTACTCCATCTATAATTCCGGAGCCTCTAGCTCGGGCCAAGTTCTAACGCTTTCTGTCCGTGCAAACTCATCAACCTCCTGCAAACGTTTTTTTATGAAATTCAATGGAAAAGTTGAACCTGGAATCTCTCGACTCAAGCTATAGCTGTCTTGAGTGCGATATCAACGTTGTTACTGTAGTCCACAGGATCAAGACTCAAATGTTCGATACATATCCAAACACCGAGGACTGTACTCCGCAACGTCGTATTCCTGTACGAAGCAATGTCATCAGGACCGAGATAGACTTATGTTAGGCTTGTTTTGGCAGGCCTAATCTACTTATAACATTTATCCCAGGTTCAAAACGAGCTTACGGCGACTGGCATCTACATGCAGGCAGGCCATTCAGCCATGTATCACAAACAGGGGCAATTAGCTTCCGCTCTTTACGCTAAGGTCTACCTCAAACCACACTCTTTCGTCCCTTCAACAATGGACCCCGCGCAAGGATCGGCGGGTAGCACGGGAATTGGTCAGAGCGACAAGGGCAGATCCAACCACCATCCAGTCGTTGTCCTTCCCTCAATTACGCCTGTCATATCACCTCATCCGCTCGATGGTGCAATAGTCAGTCATAGCCAGCTTCTACTATCGCATACTCAGTTGATGTTGCTTCACGGATCATGCAAACAAACTGACTGAGTGGATAGTTGTTCTCCAACTTTGTATTGCTGTCTTTACTTGATAAGCCTTTCCTTGAGTAGGATTGAAGTATTCAAACGGCCAAGGGCTTATCCTGCAGATCCCACTTCCCCAGCACTCACCCCTGATTGTATTACCCTTCTTGGACCTCACTTTCTAGCATATAGAAGACCAAAATAGCATTTGCACGATAACACAAAATGTAGGGTAGTATTGGGGTAGTATTGCTAAGAAATCCAGGAGGGTCCTAATTCAAATGCGCGAAGGAACAGATTTGTGAATTTTCACCAAAATCTTCTATTAGCGACCAGAGTCCAGACATCAATATATGATATTATCCATCGCTTTCAAACCTTATTTTCTAAACTGATCGGAGCCCCCTTGATGAACCTTCAGTCTAGTGGAGTACCTTTTGCGAGGTACCATCTTCGTCTTTTACAATGGTCAAGCAACTGAACACCGCATGTTTGGTTATCATCGTTGTCTTTGAAGTTGTTGGCTCAATCTTCTGCTTTGGGCGTTTAGCCTCAAGGTTAGTATCAAAACCACCATGGAAGGGACTGATGATGTGGAGTGAGTCTTCTGAAGTTTGGTCTAAACTGCTTGTTTGCTAAATATTTTTTTAGGTGATATCTGTATGGGTATAGCTTGGGTAAGACATCATTGAGAATTAAGGTTGTCATCTGAAATTGAGGCTGAGACAAACATAGGTTCTATCGGTTGTGGAAACTGTCGCTATATACGGATGTGAGTAATCTTTTTCAAGCCGACTTCTGGGGACTTTTAAAGTTTCTGATTTTCGCAATGTCTCTTTATATACGAAAAATTTGCTTCATAGATACTTTTTGCAGAACTTTGGAAGGGCTTATCAACTACGTCTAGATGATGAAGTTTGGTTCCAATCATGCTAACCTGGACACTAGTAACATCGTATGCAAAATATGGCTATAAATCATCAGATCTTGCCCAATTCAATATCGACATACCTACCGAGATGAAATGGTCAATGTTTGATTCCCTTTGCTATAATCCAATCCTCGGTTTCGTCAAGGCCTCCATGATTCTCCTATATCTTCGACTTGGGGGAATAAGACAAACAGTTCGATATGCTTCATATGCACTCTTATGCATCAATTTCGCCCTTATGATCGCCATCTTCTTTGTCGATATGTTTCAATGTATACCGTTTTCATACAACTTCTACTCGACAGAGATGGACCTGGCGGCTCAGATTAAAGCAAATGCCACAGATCCGGGAATCGGACCTTATGGGCCTGTAGCATCTGGGTTCAAAGATGGGAAGTATATATCGGGCGGGAAATGCATCAATGGTGTCAATTTTATATTGTCAACCGCTGGTTTGACTATTTTGACAGACTTACTGGTTCTATGCATTCCAATCTATATGGTAAAGGATCTCAAAATGAATCCACGGAAAAAGGCTGCAGCAATCACAATTTTGTGTATGGGCTTGGGGTATTGATCATTATTCCCATTTTGTATTTGTCGCGAGCTAACCCTTCTTTTCAAGTGTTACTGCCATCGGAATTTGTCGTCTTGTTTTTACTTATCGTGCATTCTACCCCAATGTCCCAGACCCGGGATTGAATGTTAACAGCACCATATCTCAAATAGAGACTGGTCTTGCATTGGTTATAGGCTGCATCCCTGATCTTCTGCCTCTTTTTCGTCTACTAATACCTGGCTTCTTAAATTTTGCGACCAGACAATCAACTCATCCAGCTCGGTATCCTTACCTCTCAGCTTTCGGTTCCAAAAAGAAGCCTGAAGACCGAAGCGACATTCTCAAAAACACCATGTACGAAGAACATGGACTAGACATTTTGAAGTTACGTCCCAACAATGGATTGATACAACGTGAGACGCAAGTCAGAGGTGCTGCGAGTACCGATAGCTTGACTGGTAGTCAAATAGAAATGTTCGACAAAACTATGGACGACAAGACGGATTCAAAGACAATTATCAAGACAACACATTTCTCGATGAAAGAATCGGACCTAAATGACCCAAGGAACACTTGGAGTAATGTCTGACTTAGTCAAGAAGATTTCTTTTGAACTCCTTTGTATTGGCTTGTTGGTTATAGAGTCGAAAAGGCATTTAGCCTGTATGTTTTAGAGCCTGCGAGAAAATCATCGTGTCAAAATCTTTGCGGATTTTGTATGCCGTAAAGGTCATGACTCATGTCTTTTCTATCTTTGGCCGCATTGCATGGTTGTATTGCAATTCATATATTGTGTAAATGTTATACAATCATGTAACTCTGAGGTCTTTTGATGCTGGAAGGGGCGTGGGGGTCATAAGGAGTTTTCCCCTTTGTCTCTATACTCCCAGGCACACAGACTGTACCGCAACGTGTGCAGTGCACACCATAATTTTAATAGCCAGGAGCAATTACTTTGACAAGAGCGAAGAGAAGTATTGCTGGAAATTTAGTATGTACCATTGACTGGCCTCAACGCGTATGTAGCTTCTTTCCATTTGGTTACATGTATGGAGAAACACTACAACCACATCCATTCCCTTCTTTTGGTGCCTCGAAATACTATGCGACTACAATCAGCCGCTTCTCTCCTTTCTATTTTTCCTTCCGATCCGAGAGAAATCCCACCAATGGGGGTAATGATCTACGACATTACCCCAAAGTTGTGTTGTCAGCTGCGGGGAGCTGCACACAACTGCATTTGAGGCTGGCTTGGCATATATAAAAGAACCAACGACCAGATATTTAAGAGACCGACGACTTGGAAAGTTCTTCTGATGTGATAAAGCTCACGTCTGCATGAAGAACATTTTTAAATGCATTCCGTGATGGAGCAACAAATTCCGTTTGCCAACACTTTTACCCCGCAGTCCGTCTTGGATGGACTCTGAAGACCCCGGATAATCAAGACAGAGTTAGATCGCAATATCCACGTAAAATTTATAAAGTACACTTGGTCCAGCGTGTGGGAGAAGTTATTCTGGAAGTTCATCTCTGGAAATTGATCAGCCTTTGCATATCTTCTTAATATTTAACTTTGAAAATCAGAACCCTCCAAGCAATTGCCACAGTCGACGTGTGCATAGTGATATTCCTCGAGAGTTCAGAATCTAACTGACTTCCACCATGAAGTTGTTAGAATTTACTGCCGTGATATCTTCACTGGTTGTCCTTGCTCAAGCTGGCAATGGCAATAGCAACGGTCATGGGAAAGCGAAAACCTGCACAATACCCTCAAAATACAAATCCTCAAATGGAACAGCCGATGACTCACCAGCAGTAGCTGCCGCATTTGTCAAGTGCTCCTCAAACTCAATTATTGAGTTCAAGAAAGGTGTCGATTACAACATCTTCAGCCCAATCTCCGCAAAGAACTTGTCAAATGTGATTATTCGTCAAGAGGGCAATCTTCATCTTCCCCAAAACATCACCTATATCCAAAATCTTGTCACAACCTCCAATGCACTTACATATACCACCGCTTTATACTGGTTTGCATTTGCCGGTCCCAAGATTCAGTATGAAGGATCAAAAGACATTACGACAGGGTGGATAAACTCGTATGGCCAAGCATGGTGGGACGCGAATCCCGTCAATGGAACTGGTCTTGCCAATCGACCACATCTTTTTCAACTGAACACTACAAACGGCGGTATGAACTATTTCAAATCGCGCAAGCCAATAGCATGGAATGTTCAACTTCTGGGAAGTAATATCCGAGTCAAAAATAGCATCATTGATTCCTTCTCTACGGGCACCGGTTTTCCATTCAATACCGATGGATTTGGTGTCACGGCTACAAACGTTCACATTTCTGATTCTATCATATACAATGGAGATGATGCATGTGCTGTTCAATCTGGTTCTCACAACGTTCTTTTTGAGAAAGCAACGATCGGGTATCAATCTCATGGCCTGTCCATTGGCTCTCTTGGGCAAAATCAAGCTTCATTCGCCAACGTATCAAACATCCATTTCCGTGATATAACAGTTGTGGATGCAGTCTACGCTGCCCGATTCAAGAGTTGGATTGGAGGTCAAGGAATCGCAAAAAATATCACATGGGAAGATATCCGCGTGTACAATGTTTCATTCCCGATTTTTGTCACCCAAACCTACTACAATCAAGGGTCTAACGCGACTCAGCTCGAACCTGGACAGATCAGTGGACGCCCGAACAACGCGAGTGTCAATATGGAGGATTTCACGTGGAAAAACTTTCGAGGAACAATTAATACCTTTGAGCCTGGGGATGGTACTTGTGTTTCAGACCCATGCTGGTACGATGCCGGATTGCCAAATTTGCAGCAGACAGAAACCATTATCATCGAGTGCAATACCGAGAGTTCTTGCAAGAACTTCAGTTTGGAGAATATTGAGATCTATCCACAGGATTATAGAAACCCAACAGTGATCTGCATCAATGCTACGAGTACGCTGAATCCAGATCTGGGATTCAATTGTGCCAATGGAACGTTTGTTCCTTTGAGTTGAGGTGGGATTTAGAGATGAGAATATGATAAGCTAAGATCATTAAGGGATGAACATTTTCCACGCACCACTGGTGATTCAGAAAAGTGACTTCATTCTATCAATGTGATCTCATTCCCCACAGTCATCTTTCCAAGTGTTTCAAATATGAGCCTCAAAAACGTGTTGAATTCTTTAAGCCCATATTCATTTTGGATGATACCCACGGACCTGACGCCGAGGTGTAGATATGAAGCGCCATCACATTCATACGCGGTACATCAAGACATTTATGTGATGTACAAGTTCCAACTCCGCCATTGGAGCAACCGAATGTCCCACGTTGGATCAACTAATCAATTATAATGCTTGGATGATGAATTATGGAGGTAAATGGAGGAGAACCTGGTGGAAGTAAAGTACCTTTGTGTGCTCAAATATCTCCTGTAAGTATTCTGGATAGGGCTGAAGTCATGCATCGATAGCATGCCGGTTTGATCGAAGAAGCTTTGAGAGATATTCCCTGCTCTTCGCTTTTCGATGACTGCACAGAAAAGTATATCCAAAATCCAAAACCCAAATTTGGTGTCATCAAGGACAAAAAGTGGCGGGGCGCCAAGACGTTTCATAGAAAGCAGTTGACGAAAAAGGAACGAAATTAAAGTTGTTTTTTCAAGGGGTTGTGGGGGCCTCTGCTCACTGCATTTTTTACCCCTTCATTTTCGAGAAAAATATTTTGGGATCTCGGCGGTAAGAAACTGCAATGAGAACATCAAGAGTAACAAGAACATCATTTTTTTGGATGACATTAATATAAGAGGATATGAGAAGTAGACTTGATATGTGTGCCAAAGGTTACTATCCAAAATTTATTAATTCAAGGCAATTTTTCATCTTTTTATTTCACACTCTCGAGACTTTCTTTCCCACTTCTCCAAGAGCTACCATCAAAGCCAATCGGGAAGCCACAGTTACCAGTGCACCAAATAAATTGCATTTTTCCCAGATGAGGCTTGACTTTAGATGAATTTGGTAGACAGGAAATGAAGGTTCAATACTACGTATATGTATTGGGTTAATGCCGGCCATGGTTTTACAAGGATTGCGCCAATGGAGCTTCATGCTTATCCGAATGAAACGTTCTGCTCTTCGCATCAAGCGACTAACAGCATAGCCTTCAACATTAAGATAAATGAAATCGCGACTTGAGCTAATATGTCAACAGGGTACTGTTCATAGATATCAGATAGGTTTGTAAACCACTGGTTCGAAGAGTTTCCAGCATAACAATATATGAATATCTCAACCGGCTGAATGATCATTGTCCCAGTATCAAATTCAAACCACATTATCGAATGAGAGAATGGACAGAATTTGAACAGCGCGTCTATTTTCTCTTATCTATTCGCTGGAAAAATGTGGAGTAGAATCTGCGAATCGTATATCTCACACATCTTCTAACAGAAGATCACCAAATCAAGGTTGGCAAACGAAACGTTCATCTAAAGATCTTGTTTCTCTGAAACGGACAAGGGTGTTATTTCGATTCCCCCAGGACTGGCATCATGTATCGATTCGATTCATGGCGCGTGCTTTTCAGTTCTATATATTGAGTTGTCTCTCATGATGGTAACTTTCCTCTTCCCTATTCTTTCTCTCCAAGTTAGTCTTGTTAGCTCGTCGTCTTTATTTTTACTCTCTTCACTTTCTCTAAATACATTCATTTCAAAGTGTGATCTGTGATCCACGACATTCATTTTTACAAGTTTACATTCATTCCACTACGAACCCACACACAAAATTCTATCAAGATGTTCTCCAAATCAATCATCGCCGCTTCCCTCCTCACAGCAGTCACTGCTCATCAAAACTTCCATCAATTTTGGGTCAATGGAGTTTCTCCAGGATATCAAGTCTCTATCCGCATGCCACCCTCCAACTCCCCAGTTCTCGATGTAGCATCCGATAACATCACCTGTAACGTCAACGGAAACGTTGTCCCATCAGGTGTCAACACAACCGCCGCAAATGAGGGAGATGCTATCACAGTTCAATGGGACTCCTCTACCCATCCAGGACCTATTCAACATTATCTTTTCGGTCCAGTGGATGATGCGTCCATGGCTACTGGCATCGGTTCATGGTTCAAGATTGATGAGTATGTTGAGGTCAACGGTACTTGGGCCTCCAACCTCATGGATGCCGGAAACATGAGCTACACTTTCAAGCTTCCTACCGGAATGGCATCTGGTGAATACTTGGTAAGTTTTCCTATTTTCATCTTTTATACTTCTCCATAAACTAACAAATCATCACACAGCTCCGCTCAGAGATGCTTGCTCTTCACTCAGCCCAGACTGTCGGGGGTGCTCAATGGTACATTGGGTGTGCTCAACTTTCTATCACCGGTACTGGTGGAGATTCATGCGGACCATCCATCGAGCTTCCAGGTGATTACAACGCTACCGACCCAAGTATCTATATCCCAGATATTTACTATGGCTTTGACATATCCACCTACACACCTCCCGGAGGAGCCATTGCCACATGTGGTGCTTCCGGAGCTGGAGCCACGGGTGCAGCCAGCGCCACAGCTGTTGCAACATCTGCTGTTTCCAGTGCGGTTCCATCATCAAGCGCAGCAGCTCTTTCATCGAGTGCCGTAGTCGCACCAAGCTCTGCCGCCTCATCCGTAGAGGGCTCATCCAGTGCGGTACTTCCATCAAGCTCCGTAGCCGCCATTGTAACTTCTGCACCAAGCACTCTCGTAACAGCTACTTCTGCACCAGCAGCCACTAGCTCAGCGGTTGAGGTTGGTGATGATGAGTGTGATGCATAAACTTGACGAGGATATGTATAAAGTGGGGGGAATATGTTTGGATTCTTTTGTATATATATCTAGATCTATTCACTGTATATGAATAGACTTGGCACTTGCCACTGTACAAATAGAGACCGGTTGAGCTTTGAATGTTGAGTGGTTACCAATTGTGAAGTGCATTGCCTTGGTGTCAAACTTAGACGGATTGCCAAAAAAAAACATAAACCCCACTTGCGCCGGGTTTGCTCGAGGATAACCGGATTGGTGAATGAGATAAAGAAGCTTGAAGTCAAAAGAGCCATCAAACCAAGCGTTAAAACATATGAATAACAAAAGTTCATCTTCGTTGAATAATGGAATCAAAGTAGGATGTTACACGCTGGTTTCCGTACATTATATCCATACCAATAGAAGAAATGCTTTGATTATTAAGAACATGGAGCAAATCTAACGACTTCATTTTCGGACATCAGTAAAGACGATCAAATTCCTGCGATGTTTAAAATGCAAGGATCAGCTCATTACTCAGAATGCATTCTTCTCGCAACCTGAATGAGCACCCTTTGCAAATTCATATCACTTCCCGCAGCCGATGATCCCCTCCTACCCAATCCCTTTGCCACTTCTACTAAAGTCTCTCCCAAAAGCCCACCGATATCCTCACCCAATCTTGCCATGACTTTGTTCCATTCCCTCTTATACCGCTCGTGGGTGTCGACTATAATCTTGACATTCTGGTCGAGAGTATCTTGACACTCTTGTGCACCGTTTGTATTGCCAGCTCGAGTTTCCCTGCGGAATGCACGCAGTAGTTCGCTTGTTTGACGGAGAACGGGTTGGACGATGGCTTGGTGGTCTTTTTCGATTTGTTCGAGCTCTGAGTAGTAGGGAGTTGCTTGGAGGATAAGCACGATTTGTTCGTGAGTTTTATCTGACATTGTGATTGATAGTGTATCGTAGCTTTGTAAGTTAAGAATCACTGAGGTTTGATTTTTGTTGGGTGTTATTTATTGCTTTTGATAATCTGGAGAGGTAAGGAAAAGGAATCCATAATAGGAAGGAACGACATACAATGGTTTAAATTCCATTGCTTGATTCACTGATAGCTCGATATCTTACTGGCGCTTTACTAATCAACAACTTGAAGGATATTCTGTTATTCCTGAATGTCGAAACTTCTGACTATAGCAATCCGGGACATTTGCAGAGCTAGATGTTATGATCGAGCCCTTGGTTATCCAATCATGAATATTTTCTTACCATGCCAGATGTTAGGGCAGTGAATGATTTAGGGATCGTTCAGTGATGTTTCGAGGCATTCACTCGAATTGCTTGCCCCTACCATAACACAAAATGAATGTGTGTCTTAACCGTTTCATATGTGACGATACGACTTCGATTTCAGCTCAAGACTATCATTTCTAATCACGGATTCGTACGGTATATGTTCGAGCCTATTCAAGTTATGAATTATGTTTTTCTTCCAGGCACCCAATCCAACATCATCGTTTACATTGACTACCTCAAAAGAATTCGAAGTCAATCTAACCCTCGATTGTCTCAATAACTCAATTGCACTACACCATAAACAACCATTTTGAAAGCAGGAGCTCTGCATCATGAATGCCAAGGAAAGCGCGGCTGACCAGGTCATTCAAATCCCTCTTGAACGTAATGCGCATCATAATGTACAAAAAGCTGACAGAAATTGTTGGTCGCCACAGTGAATACACCTCAGCAAATAAATAGTTCACCCTCAAGCACTCGGCACCAAGATTGGAATGAAAATGAATAAGATCGTGGCCTGGGTGCCATCGATCAGATCGCACATACTGAAGAGATCATAGGTAGGGATACCAAAGTCGATATGAGCAATGAAAATACACCTGCAATCAAATCCGCTCCGGAAACGTTTCAACTCTTTCGAGATCTGCCACCAGAGTTAAGGTTGAGGATATGGAAGTTTGCAGGTTTGCAGCCACGTATCATTCATGTTTCCAACTACAACAATACGTGGCCAGAAAACGTTTATCTTTGTCCAAGTATGCCGCAGCAGTGTCCTTTGACAATGACGTGTATAGAGTCGCGTGATGCGGTGCTGAAATTTAGTAAGCCCCTGCAACGTCTCGTTTTAAGATCGAAGACTTACATGGAGGATGCTGAGCGACGAGGTCCCCACACCCCTGGTACGGAATTAGACAGTCAAATTTTTGGCCAAGTCGAAGCCAAAATGGTACGGAGAAACAGCCAATCATCCATGCCAACCTTAATATCGACGTAATCTGGCCTCATACAGGAGAATGTTGGACAGACATGATCCACCATATGGGGGAGGGGGGAGGGGGAATTTACAGGGATGAAGCGGATCATAGTACCAAAGAATGAACACAACTACCCTGCGAAAGTTCTAGGTGTAATGCCTCGCCTAGTTGACAATCGGTCTCTCGGTGTCTATCAATGGGCTAAATCTCTAGATGCCCAAGAGCCTTTTTTTCTCCAGGAGGACGACGAAGATTTCAGTATCATCGAAGAAAGCACTCAGGTATCACATCTATGTGAAGGATTTGTGTCAGAAGCATCTCTTAACCAACTCGTATGGGGAGGGGATGAGGTGCCAGGATCATTAGAGGACATTAATGAGGCTCACAAAAAAAGCTTCAACGAATCCCGCAATTTTACGATAAAATGTTTCCAATAGGATCTAGTTGAATCAGGTATGATCAATTCTCACCTTTCCAATCACTTCTTGAAGCCCAATGTAACTAATGTGAACTTTCAGGACGTCTTGATGACGAACATCAATGCGAATTACAAAGACTACAGGCCTGGGAACCACCAAAGATTAAGTACATCGAAGAGTCACAGATCGAGGATATTCTATGATAAAAATCATGATGCACTTGCCACAGGGAGTAAGGCTGTAGAGTCACACCAAAGATATGGTGTCCAATACTTCTGACTGGAAGCTGGCAGTAATATGCTTGTCAATTATTGATTCTGTTGGGAATAATTGAATCTTTTGAGAAGATGAGCTAGCTTGGTGGAATGAACGATCCCCCGGCCCTGGGGTGATCTTATGCTCGGATCACAAACCAAGCCACTTAGCTATATATCTTGATACAATTTTAATCAAAAATCTGAGTTGCTATTGGGCAATGCATCTACGTGATTGATATATTTGCATCTGTTTGACCACTCTGTCTCGCACCCACTAATGTGCATCCTAAAAGCTTTATCAGTATGTCCAATTGAAGAACCAGCCGGTGTACTCATTGGACTTCCTTGAATTCTCAAAGTTCACACCAGTTTATACACAAAATTCAGAGAGCAAAACAGTGCAATGAGAATGAAACACCGCACAAGAAATATAGCGAGTTGGATGAAATTCACAATATTGCTACAAAACGTATGCATAGGGGTATCACTCCGCTCCTGTCCCGCGCTCAAATAGACGCTTTTATCTCAAACATTTCCTGCCATCTGACATATATTAACTATATGTATGTCTTGCATGATCAGGTCAAAATAGAAGGGGGATACTGTGGAATCCGACGTGTATAATGATCTGTGTGGGTGGGCACCCTACAGCAACCCACTCCGCCCGCGCTCCGTTTACAGCAACTCCAGGACCAATCGCTAAGCCAATGGGATGCTCCGTAAATAGCCAGCATTTCGTCGACGGATTTTCCTTGATAACATCTCTCACCATGCTGTTCGACGAGCTTTGGAAGGGCTCGTGGGTGCAATGTTTTTGATCCTAAAATAAAGACATATTAGTATTGCGCAACAAGTTAAGAGCATTAAGCCGAATACTAACCAGGATGATAACGGCAAGGCCCATCGGCATCTTGGGATCTTATTTTTTTGAAACACTGCCCACATTTACCGCCTTTAAATTTGAGAGATTTTCTCTCCAACCCCATTTCCTCCAGGGTTGGATCAAGCCTCCGCTTCTTTGGCGATGATGATACACCGGCGACTGATTGGCTTCGAGTTCTTCCGTTCAAAACTTCGTCATTCACATCTGTCAAAACAATCTGAGCTAACGGAACCCCTTCACCTTTTCCCGCCAAGTCCCTCTCATGAGTTAAAGTACTCTCCGTAACTTCCCTCAACCTTCTCTCAGTCTCGAGTGCTTTTTCCAAATCTTTCGACTTCTTTTTTTCTCTTTCTAGTGCTTCTACGGCAGCATCCCTGACGGCATTTGTTGAGGAAGCACGCGTGCCCACTTTTGAAAATTCCAGTTGTTCATTGGCAAGTTGCTCCTTGAACAACCGAGATCTAACCTTTTCATCTTTCAAAGCCTTTTTGAGCTCCTCGGAGATTGCCATCACGGCAGGCTGAGGGATTTTATTCGGCTGAGATATAGGTGTTCCGCTTCTTGATTGAAACCGTCTCTGAAGGTCTAACAGATCCTTTAGTCTTTTCGTTTCCTTCCTCTCATCACTCAACTGCTTTTGAATTATCTCAATATATCTTCTGTCCGTTTTTGAAGCTTGGTCTGCACTATCGTTCCGGGGCATCAATTCTGGCAGAGTATTTTGGGCGTTGATAGCCTTAGCCTGAATTTCCATCATCTGCTGTTGTAAGGTCTCGACCTGATTCCATTCATTTTGATAATTATTTGTGACAGTCTTTATCTTCTCCTTCGCTGCCTCTAATTCTTGCAGCAACACCGCAGTTCGTTTCTTTTCTATCATCAATGCTTCTTCCAGAGGACTTCCTTGCGGCAAGGTATCCTCATCGTCACTCACCAAGTCAATGACCAACCCCTTGCCTGATATAATTCGTTCCTTTCTCGAATTCATAGACATTCCTCTCCGGTCCGTCGACTTCCCATCTACTTCATCATTATTCAAGAGTCCTTTAGTACTCCATCCCTCCTCTTTCTCCTCCTCTACATATTTGTCACCAAGCAAAAATCTTAGGGTGATCGTTCGCATATGCGGATACAAATTTCCGGTAGCTCTGAGCAATGCTTTGAGGGATTCGACATCTGCATTATTGAGAGCGGACTCTAGAGACTGGGATTGAGGAAGTGCTTGTAGCTTTGACTGAGGAGCTGGGGTCGAGATTGAGGAGCCTAGTCTAGAGGGTGTTCGAAGAGATGGAGAGGCATTTGATGGCGTAACGGGAGTCAGTGGGTAATGGTCCAGAGGAGCCAGTTGTGGCTGAGATTGAGTGAAAAATTGAGGAGGGTGTTGGGTATTGTGTCTACTAATCTCAGGCGCAAATGGTGGCAACTGATGTTGCGTTGGGAATCCATTGGGATTTGAGTATGGACTGGGGTAAGTTGAAGCTTGCATTGTGGATGTCCACCTTGGTGCCGGTTGAGGAGGATAATGTTGCTGCGAACCAAGATCATTCGAGAATATCGGACTTGGCGAAGGAAAGCTCGACTGCTGTGGAGAGGAATTGGAGAGGGTTGGATAACGTGTGTGGAATAACGAAGGATTGAGCTGATCTTGATAAGATGCAGGTTGTTCTGCACAATTCAATCGTACGGCCTTTCTTGACATTTGTTTAAAGCAAAAGCTCACAAGTTCATCAGTGTCTAGGGTGGTTCAATGGTTGTTTTACTGGAGAAGGTATGTCAAAAGAATGGTTCGAGGAGGGTTTAGGAAGACGCGTTGGCGGGGAATCGCGATTTTCTCGATAAGCTGCTGCTGTGGAAGGCGCGTAAACGCTTATCGACACGTGACCGGTCCCCTTTTCATGTATATTTTTGTCAAGATACCACATCTCACTCTCAATTTCAAAGATCGTGGGTTGGATAAACATTCCACAGCAAACATATATCAAGTGCCTGATAAATTTTCTCGTTGGAAGGATCTGATTGTGATTGGCTTAAGCGGAGGGTTGACCAGATTTGGAACATATCACATCGTGCTTACTCTAGGATGGGCGGCTACCACTGTCACAATGAATTGAGGATGCGCCCCTCACCATATCAAGCTTTCAAGTATCACATCGAATATTGTTGCTAGAAACCCGTTGCGAGACACTGTCACAAGGTATTGTCAGTTCAAAAAACTCAAGACTCTCATCAACACTCCTTATCTAGTTTCAATCGGTTCTCTGGTCTCAAAATGGGGGCAGAAACCATCAATCCGAAGCTGAATGTTGCTATTATCGGCGGCGGTCTTGGTGGACTTGCTCTCAGTATTGGACTCCTTCCTTATCGTGATGCCCTCAATATCACAATTTACGAATCAGCTCCTAAGTTTGCAGAAATAGGGGCAGGAATTGCATCTGGTCCTAACGCAGTGAATGCCCTAAGTCTGATCTCTCCTGATATCCTTAGAGGTTATAGGAAATGTGCAACGTTTAACGAAACTCGCGATCACGATAATGCATGGTTGACTTTCCGGTATGGAACGAATAGTAAAAATGGTGATGGCAAGAATATGGACTTGATTCATCATGTGGGAGAGGAAGGAAAACCTCTGGGAGATATTTCGAAAATGCTGATAAGAGAGGAGATTAGAAGGAGAAGTTGTGTGCATAGGGCTAGGTTCTTGGACGAAATGGCAGCATTGATTCCAGACGGAATGGCGAAATTCAAGAAAAGTCTAGTGAGCGTTGAAGACCCGGATGAAGACAACGAAGGATTGAAGTTGACATTCGAAGATGGTGAAACAGTTCTCGCTGATGTAGTGATTGGCTGTGATGGAATCAAAAGTGTCACAAGGAAGTTTGTCATGAGAAACCAATCAATTGAACCGGAGTTTTCAAACACCTACGCGTATCGAGCTATGGTTCCCAGAGATGTTGCCCGGGAAGCGATAGGAGATATCTTAGCACTAAATGGCCAATCATACCTTGGATATGGTAGATATATGATTAGTTACCCAGTTGAGCATGGGAACTTGATCAACCTCGTTGCATTGAAGACAACGAAAGATGTCGAATGGGATCAGAACAACTGGTTGGTGCCTGCTACCAAAGAAGAGATGGCGTCCGATTTGAAAGGCTATGATGAGAAGTTGGTTGAATTGGTCTCGAAATACTGTGCTGGAGATAAGTGGGGGCTCTTCCATCTTCCACATTCTCAGAAATATTTTCGCGGAAGGATTTGCCTTATGGGAGACGCTGCTCATGCAAGTACACCCCACCTAGGGGCTGGCTCTGGTATGGCATTTGAAGATGCTTATGTCTTGAGTCGTCTTTTTCAGGGTGTCAAGAATAAAGATGATATTCAAAAAGCACTCGAAGCTTATGATACGGTGAGAAGACCAAGGTCGCAAAAGCTAGTTGAATTTAGTAAGAAAGCCGGAGAACTGATCTCGTTTACGCATGATGATTTTGGAGATGATGTAAAAAGGATAGCTGACGAGATCGATTTGTTGTATGAATGGGTTTGGACATATGATCTTGAAGGAAGTTTGGTAGAGGCGAAACAGCTTTCCGGTTTGTTCTAGTCTCTTCTCCAATGACTGTGGATTATTGAGAGACTGCATCGGGCAACATGTAGAGAGGTAGCGAGGTAGCGAGGTAACGTGCGTCCTTTTTTACCTCGGGGGCTGTCATTTGTTGAAGAGATCGTTCTCCCTGCAGGACAATTCAAAAGATTGACGGCATGGTTAGATACGGTTAAAGAAATCTGAGATGATATTGAAACCTGGCCGTTCTTCAATGGCTGAAGAGCAAATTCAGATGAGATAAATGCTGTTTCTAAATGCATGCTTGTAGGCGAAG